TTTCAGAGACCAGCGTCTGAGGGGTTTCGAGTGGAAGCATGAGGGCCGAAGCTTCAAGCTGCAGCAGACCACCGAGTCCAACGTGTGGGCGGTGATGGAGCAGAAAAAGGAGACAAATGGACTGCAAGCTCCGTGCGGGTACGTTGTGATCTACGTAGATGATTTCTTGGCAGCTGGACCTCGAGGCTTGGTGGATAGCATCATCAAGCGGATCAATGAAGAATGGGTCTGCAGCCTGCCGGAATGGATTCATCATGAAGGTTGGACCAAGTTCTGCGGGATGGAGTTGAGATGGAACGGAGATGGAGATCTGCAAGTGGCTCAGCCCTCCTACATCGCGGAGCTGATCAAGAGGCACAACGTGGAGTGTGCTCGACCGGTCCCGTTCAGCAAGCCGGAGATCCCCGAGAACCCGCAAATGACGCCAGAGGCTATTCGGGCGGCTCAGGGATTGGTTGGTGAGCTGCTATGGTTATCGGTGCGGACGAGACCAGATGTTTCCTTCGGAGTCTCTTGGATGTCGCAACATGTGACACGATGTCCGCAGGAGGTGGTCAAGGTCGGCATGGAGATGATGGCGTACTTGTACGGTACGAAGGAATTGGGCCTGGTGTATGGGGGCTGCAAGGGAGACAGGGGGCCAGATGGCGGTTTGCCGTTTGCGAGGTCAATGAGGAGATTAGAGATGTACGCGGACATCTCCTTTGCCCCGTTGGGTGAAAAGAGCCATCAAGGGGTTCTCGGTTTCTATGGTGGCGCCTTGGTTCAATGGGAATCCAGCCGCCAGCCGTTTGCGACCCTTAGCACAGCGGAAGCCGAACTGGTGGGCTATATCGAGGCCATGATCATGGGTGACTCCCTCTGCGCGGTCTTGGACATCATGGAGGGTGGCCACAACGGTGGAGGAATCACGGAGAAAGTGATATACGGGGACAACACGGCGGCGTTGGCCATCGTTCAGAATCCAGATGGGCCGTGGCGCACACGGCATCTTCGGCTGCGTGCCAATGTGTTGCGAGAAAGAGTGAGAGGTGGAGAATGGCAGGTTCGACATTTGCCAGGTTGTGATTTGGTCGCAGACTACCTCACGAAGACGGTGGCTTCCAGGTCACAGTGGCTCAGGTTCTACGCCATGACGGGCATGCTCCTGGCCACAACGGAGGTGGACGGAATGGTGAACCAAGAAGCCATTGGGTCCCAGAAGGGCCTCACCAAGGACACGGTCATGAAGGTGGCGGCTCTGAGTGGGCTCATGGGTATTGTGGCTTGCTGGAAGCCGCAGGACCCTCGGTCTCACACCGTGAAGGAGCTTTGTTTGGCGGCTCTTGGTGTTGGGTTAGGTTTTGTGTATAAAGGCCATCGGGCCCAACCTGCGAGGGAATCAAGATCGGCTAGGGATGATGAACCAGCCGCACAGCAAGGCAACTTAGAGGGAAGGATTGCCAAGATGGTCAGGGAAGATGAACCGACCACACCAAGGGACCCCTCTGTTTGGAAGCCTGTCACCAGGGATGATGAACCGGTGAAGGCAAGGCCCTCTGTCAGGGAAGATGAACCGACAGAGAGGAAGATCGCCAGGGAACATGAACCGGCGACGTCAAGATGGGCTAGGGAAAAAGAACCAGCCACGAGGGTAAAACAAGAGGACCCCTGCCGCTTGCCGTTTTACCACTGCCCTACGGGCTGCCCTGCATCAATAGGTAAGGGTCGGGTGCCAATCGAGGCACCAAGGGAGCCATGGCCTGAACCATCTGGTGGTCCAATTCGTGGGTCACAGGATGAGGAGCCTGAGGACTTTTGGGAGGTGACGTTTGAGCGAGACTTCATCGTGGCGACCCGCATTCATATGCTGAGGAGAAACCGGGATTTTCAACCGGATCCGAGGAACATGCCTCCGGGGTCAACGCTACGATGCTGGAAAGTCGGCGACAGACCAATTTGGTTTTCGTCGATCTCGAGCGAGGGCGGCGGGTGATCAATGACAATTGGAGGATGGAAGCTTTTCGCGAAGCAGATGCCTGGACGGGATCTACGACATTCGTGGCTCCACTGCGAGGCAATGTGAGCTTGCGGGACCTGGGAATCACTTCACTACCGGGTGAGCGTGAACGAAGCCGCAGTCCGAGGGATGATAACAACCCGGATGATGCGGGACCAGCCCGTCCCAGGATTGGGAACACCCACATCAGGGCCCCAAGCCAGCGAGAAGTTCGACCGCGGCTGCGAGCCTTGAGGTGGTTGTCGAAGCAGCCGAATGTGGAGGCCAAGCAGGCAAATAAGATTGAGGAGAAGACGGAGAAGGGGAGGAGGTCAGATAATCAAGAAGAAGACGTTCATCAGGATGGGCCAGTACTCCCGTGGGAGCTCGAGGAGTACAAGGTCCCCCCGATGCTCAAGAACAAGAACAAGGACGAGTGGGATTGGTCCCAGCCGGGATGGGCAATCCGTGCACATGGCAAACCTCGGAAACGCAGGTTTCACCCGATCCATCGAGAGTTCCCGCTGGATGCAGCGCGGTTGGAGTCGAGGAGGATCACGGTGAAGCTACACACGGGCACATCGCCTTTGGGTATCCGGTCCGTCGAGGAGGACAGCTGGACAGCTCATCAGGAGCGACAACGAACCTCGCAAATGCAACCATGGCGAGGGTATACTTTCTTCCAGATCAAGGTCAGGAAGGAGAGGAATTCCGGCTGGTCGTCCGTAAAGGACCGTGGAATCGCTTCGAGGGGCATTGATCCTAGCGCAAGGGGCTCTGGGGACCAAGTTGGATCCGGAGGCTATGCGCGAGGAGGCCCAGAGGAGCGTGGGAAAGATGCTGGCCCTGTAGTCACATTTCCAAAGGCGAAAGCTGGCGGACGAGGGAGGACTACTACACGGGCGAGCACTATGGAGGCAAAACCTAGGACTCCATCAAGTCTTCCGGTGGCAGATGGTGCTGGGGATTTGGCGGAGGAATTTTCAGTTTCTTCTTCTGAATGGGAAGAAGTTTGAATGCAGCCGAAGGCTGCAGGGGGAGTGTGCATGTTCAACAGAAACATGATGCACACGGAACCATTCAATGGCGACGGCCATTGGCTCAAGCGCTGGAAAAAGCGCGATCTTTTTGCATAGACATAACCATAATTACAAATCTTCACCTCACGGTTTTGGGCGTGCTGACATCTAGCAAAAGCTATCTAACTAAAAGCAGATTCAGGGGAAAACTCGGAAAGCTCATGCCTCCACAGAGCAAGGAGACAACAAACGTGGGTGTTTGAAGGCAAGGTGACAGCCAAGTTCGCTGTGCTCTAAAAGCAATGCTGGAAATTGTTGCAGCTTGCTTCAGTTTCGGACAATGCTCCCGCCATAGGCCATCAACCTCTTCGAATTGCACCTTCCTACCCACATCATGTAATCTTTTTGCGTACATGGACTCCCCTTTCTTGCCCTTCTAATATGGCCGACAAAGACCATGCAATGGCATTGATTGCCGACGCAATCAGCTGGAACCTTCGAAATCCCCTTTGACTTGTCTTTGTGAGGCATGCTGCGCAAGTCCGGCTCGGAAGACTGGCCCCGGCCTAGTGGAGCCCAGGCGCGCCAAGAAAAGCTGAGAAAGGGAGTTGAAATTCAACATCTGGACCTCCAAGCTCTGCTGCTGCATGTACCTCAGACTGAACCAAACATGGCTGGTGATATTGATATCACACGTCACATGTGTTGCTTGACATGGGCTGCGCATAACTCGAGCGAAACAAAGTTGGAAGATCATGAATAAGCAAGCGTACATAAGGCACACACACACACCAACTAAACAAACCAACACAAACTAAACACCAATGCACCAACAAACCAACCAATGAACCAACCAATGAACCAACCAAACCAAGCAATGAAGCAACCAATAAAACCGTCATATCAACCAAACCAAATCGAACAAACACACAAACAATCTATGAAACAAACAAACAAATAAACGACCACATAAACAAGCAAACAAACACACACACACAACCAGCAACCAACAACCAAAAAAACACAAGCAAATACAAACAAAGAGACAAACAAACAAACAGACAAACAAACAAACAAACAAGCAAACAAAAAAAGAAAACCACAAAGACCCAATCAAACGAACGAAACAAAAACAACAACAAAGAAACAATCAAACAAACAAACAAACAAGCAAGCAAGCAAGCAAGCAAACAAACAAACAAACAAACAAACAAACACAACCAACCAACCAACCAAACAAACACAACCAAACCACAGAAACACGTAAACACACAAACAAGCAAACGCAGCAAAGCAAGCACGCAGGCAAGCAAGCAACAAACACGATAAATCAATCCATCAATCAATCAATCAACCAAACAATCAATCAATCCATCAACTCAATCAGCTCAAATCAATCAATCAATCAATCAATCAATCAATCAACCAATCAATCAATCAATAAATCAAGCAATCACTCAATCAAGCAATCGATCAAATCAAGAAACAAAACACATGAACAATAGCAAATACCATCAACAACAATCAACTGAGAAAAAACAGAAACAAAACAAACGGATGAATAATAACAAATATACACCAAACAAACCACCAGCAATCACACACGCACACTAACATAATCAGACACACCGACAAACACAACACAAACGCGCAACCAAGCACACTCACACACACACACACACTCAACCACCAACAACAACTAACTGACGACGACAACCCCAACTACAATCACGGCAACAGCAGCAGCAGCAGCAGCAGCAGCAGCAGCAACCACCGCAAGCAGAGAGCTGTCGCAACGACAACCACAACAGCTGTCGCAACGACAACCGCAAAGACAACTGCAGCTAATTGCAAGCAGGTGCAAATAAAGTCATGCCGTGAGAGTGTAGTTATTGGTACTGTACATTTCAAGATGCAATCATGCCATGCAGATCTGGGCCATAGCTGACCCAATAATAATCCCTGAGTTGCAAGCCTGCGGCTTATTCTGCAATGCTCTCTTACTACAAGCCGAGAGTCTTCAACAGCGCATCCCGGTCACGCTCCTCGGCACCCTTGATGGTCACGCACCTGAGCAAGCCGCACCGAGCTCCAAACCAAGCAGCGGCCATTGTGCAGCTGGTCTTGCCCCAACTGTGCATTCTCAGTTTTGCAATGCCAATCAACCAACCTTGATATACAGCAAGCTACGGAGAATCCATGTCTCTTGCAACCTTCTTGCAGCCTGATTTGCACCATCGAATAGATATTGAAAGCCCAAACAAATTATCGGCTGAGCAATAACAATTTCTTCAACAATTCGACCTAAAACGAAATTACCCCGGCGCGAGACCCCAAACAGTGATAGGCGGCGGTCACACGCTGCAGAGTATTGTGCGGGCAGCGCCGCAAAACGGCGGTTGTTGTCAGGAAGCTGCAACATCATTTTGTAGTATTTGCGCGCACACTCACAAAGACGAGGACACGTGTGTGGGAGACACATGCAGCACCAAGAAGAAAAAAGGCGCACAGGCATGGCCAGCAGGCATGCTCTTTTTTTCTTCCATGAGCAGCACATATCGGTGAGACGGCAGAATCGCAGGACGGGGCTGCTGGGATAGATGAGTGGCACTGCGCGCAGCCGCAGCAGGCCAGTCTGTTGGTAGATGCAAAGGCGCTGCGGTCAAGGCGTGGTAGCTTGTTGCTGCAAACAGCCGACGCGGCGCACGCAGAGTGCTAGTGGCAAGCTCTCGCAGCACCGGACCCTTCCACAGCAGTGTACATAAAGCGCGCGCTCCCAAATCGCAGGGCGCACAAGAAGGCGTCAAACTCATTTGGCGCCATGTTATCGAGGCAGTTCATGTGGTGCAGCGCTGCGAGGGGCGGCAGGCCGCGAAGGCGCGGATGTTGGTCGATCCACTGTTGCATGGCAGCTTCGTCTGCACAGCGGAAAGAGTTGTCAAAGAAAGTCGGCCACTGGCATTTCGTATTGCGATCCCCCATCTGCACCCGCTCCCAATGCACGAAGGAGCTCTGTCACTCTGGCCGCTTCCTGCGCCGCCACGAGGACCTCTCCGTACTCTTCCACTTCCCTCCCCATCTCGCCAGGCACGGCGTAGTCCAGAAGAGCCTGAAATGAAACCGCCGGCAGCACGGCGAGAAGCTTGTCCTTCGCCACCGCCCCCGAAGCTCTTCCTGCTGCAAACTTCTCCCACCTTGTTTCCGGCTAGTCCATAAGCCCTGTCGATCCGAAGATAAACCTTCCAACAAAGCACCCGCCTGCGCAGCCGCAAGGTCTCCCAAGACACATGACCCGAGATGCTCGAATTCCGCGCGCACATCGGCAGGCGCGGCTTCCAGCAGCGTCGCCAAGATTATTGCGCCCATGGCTGCGCAATCCCGCCCTGTCCGCGCGAGCTTGTTTCCTTTTGGGCATGCTTGGATGGTGCTTCTGTGCTGCGACGGCGTCTCGATGGTAACAACAACCAAACAGCAACAGCAACAGCGCCACATTCATAGAAAGAAAGAAATAGAGAGACAAAACAACGAGAACCAAGGAAGAAGCTACCTAGCTAGCTAACTCGCTAACTCAGGCACCCTGGTGAAACAAACACGCAGATCTTGCGTTTTGTAGTGATGTCGCCGGAAACCCGTGCCGCCGGACCACGACACAAAACCTTCACGGTCCCTGGAGCCGCCAAAAAAGCGAAAAAATCGAGTTTATGCGAGCCTGCGCAGTCGAAACGCACTTCAACATCAAGCAAAAGCAAGAATCTGCGGCAAACGCTCGCGGACAGAAGTCGACACCTCAGTTTCTGCGAGCCTGCGCAGTCGAAACACATGTCAACATCAAGCAAAAGCACGAATCTGCGGCACATACCACGCAAAACGCTCGCGGACAGAAGTTGACACCTCACTTTGTGCGAGCCTGCGCAGTCGAAACGCGCTTCGACATCAAGCAAGAGCACGAATCTGCGGTACATACCACGCAAAACGCTCGCGGACAGAAGTCGACACCTCACTTTGTGCGAGCCTGCGCAGTCGAAACGCACTTCGACATCAAGCAAGAGCACGAATCTGCGGTACATACCACGCAAAACGCTCGCGGACAGAGCGGGCACCTCAATCTGGCACCAAGGCCTTTTCTCTTACCGTAAGAACCCCTTAGTGTAGACACACTGTTTGGGGAAAAATGACGCGCCCAGTTCAATTGATTCAGAAAGGGCAGTCGGCTGTTGGCGTTGACAGCTCCCCACTTCTGAGCCGTGGCGCTGCCGCCAGAAAGGGCATCGGTGCGCCTGATGCTCCTTGTCATCGCAAAGGAGGCATGGCCTAGCGCTGGCGACGTGAGCTGGTGAGAGGACAGTGCTCCACGCAGGCGATTCCTCACTTCAAAGCCCTCACAAACAATTGTAGTAGTAATTTGGACTCCACATCGGGGATGCAGCACACTCAAGATCAAGTGCACCCGAGATCAACCGTTGGCAACAAACAAATATGGTAGAAACCATGATGCGGTGTGGCAGGAGCATGTCTGCGTCGATAGATGTTGTTTCATGTTTCATGTTTTACATGACTTCCCAGATATGCCATCAAATGGAAGCGACACAAAGCAACATGACTACACACTCATTCTGAGAGCACACGTGGACACGGCTTCCTGCCTAGGTGGTGCTGTGCCGTCCTTCACCTGGCGAAGACAGGAACCGGTACCCAAAATGGGTGAGCATAGTTTTTCTCACCCTGATCCATCGAAACCCTCACCGGCTGACTCACCGGTGCTTTCCAAGGAAATGGCAGGATCCTTGAACCATCAAACTGGCACACACACACACACATGCAACTGCATGCAATCGTTGGATTCTATTTGCTGCACAATGGAATCTACATGGAGTACTTCCACTTGCGCGCCTGGCATGGCGCAAGGGTGGCAGCCGCAGCCTGCATCGCCCAAAAGAAGCAGCAAGTGCAAACAAGGCCTTGACAATCCTGGATTGGCGCATTGGGGATAGGATTTCTGTTCCGTCGTAAGGCATCTGTCCTCTGCAATTTCAATTGGCATTTTCAAAAGCGCGGTGCAACAGAACATCAAGGGAAACATCTGGCCAAGATCTACACATTGTTGCAACAATTTGCATGCGAAAGAACTGTCACCCGTCAGGTTTTTGCGGGGCTAGAAGCTGGAGCCGGCTTTGCAGCCCACAGCCACGTACTTGGGTCGGCATCTCGCTTGAGGAAGGTGCTTGTTGCTGTACGTTGCTCTTTTGCTGTTGCGCCTCTGTGTGTGTTGTGTGTGTGTGTGCGTGAGAGAGTTGGACCGCTTCTTCGTGTGGGGCACGCCATGTCTGTGTCATGCGCGCACGTGCTTCTCTGCCGGGTGCAGCGATGGCTGGCCTCAAGCAGGGTACGACTTGGTGAACCGGATCTTTCGGATCTCGTGGTGGATGGAATCCCTTTTTTACTGGCGGCTATCGGAATGTTTGATCGTACTGCTTTGCGCGGCTTTTCCGCCACCAGCCAGGATGGCCATCGACAGTTTGGCAGCTTGAGCGTCCAACACCGAGTAAAATAGCTTTGCTGGATGAATCGCACGTGTCTCTGCCCGGACGGAACCAATGAAATCTGGATGCACTCGCAAATATGGCACAGAACATAGCCCCAAACAGGGGGGAAAGTTTCTATTCCAACCGCTCATCTTGGCCGCTTTCTGGACTTCAAAACAATACATCTTCTTGACTGTGTTCAACGTTGCCACATGCTAATTCACTGCGAATCGGACACAATGGCAAACCCTCGCGGGCCTGCACTTTGGCAAGCTTTCGCCTTGCAATCTTAGCTTTGGCTGGATTCGCCTTGACTTTGGGCGCCGGCTTCCCCTGGCACAGCGCAGAAGGTTAGGAGAACTCAAACAGGACAACCGGCGAGTCCTGGTCAAGTAGCTCCTAAGCCAGGAGCACTGGATCGATCTGAAGGGTTGTCCTGGGTGAGACGCAAGTTCTATCAAGTTCTCGCAAGACTTGTACACATTGCAAAGCCATCGATCAAGCATGCGACTAACTGCTTGCCACTTGAGGAGCCTTGACAAAGAAATCCGGACGCAGTCTGCCCCAATTTGGTGGCAATAACCTTTAGCCGATCATGCCTTCTTCTCGTTTTAGTCAGATCGTGATTGTGTTGCAGTATGCTGCATGATGGCTTGCGGAGGCTTGCGGCGTCTAGTAGAGCTATGAAACATCGCTTTTGCCTCATTTGACATCTTAGCCAATCATTTGACATGAGGCAACATACATGCGCACACACAGGATGTGATTGACTGGCAAAGGCACCCAAAGAAGAGCAAATACAAGTTTATATCCTGAGGACAAAAGCTGCAACTCCACTGCTTGAGCGGTGGATCCTTCCTGCTTCAGCTTTTCCAAACTTGGCTGTCTCAGCAAATTCTCAAGCCTGCTAGTTCCGCAGTTCCGCGGAGATGAAGCAGCAAGGGGCACGTTCCGCCTCATGTTTTTCCTGATCTAGTACACACCAACTTCTCATGTAAATGGTCTTGATCTGTCTTGATGCAAGGAAGCAAACGCAATCAGCACACATACACACACACAAACACACACAGACACACACACAGACACACACACACACAGACACACACACACACAGACACACACAGACACACACACACACAGACACACACAGACACACACACACAGACACACACACAGACACCCACACACAGACACACACACAGACACCCACACACAGACACACACACGCACAGACACACACAGACACACACACACACAGACACACACAGACACACACACACAGACACACACAGACACACACACACAGACACAGACACACACACACACACAGACACACACACACAGAGACACACACACACACAGACACACACAGAGACACACACAGAGACACACACACACAGACACACACAGAGACACACACAGACACACACACACAGACAGACACACACACACACACACACAGACACACACACGCCAAGCTGGTGCGGGAAGAGTCACTGGGACATGCACAAAGAGCAAACATTAGCTTTTGCTGATGGCTTTACATGAATGGCCGGCAACATTCCCGCAATTTACCGCACAAAATCTGCCTAACCTGAAATCGACGGAATGCTGTGCACACGTACTTCGTAATTTTCTGCAACACCATACAATACAGCAATTGTGCCTCACTTCCCGAGTGGATTGGCCAAAAGAAGTCTAAGTCTAAGCATTTCTGTTACCACCAAAATGGTCTTCCCAAAAGTTACAGTCCAGTAACTCAGTGAGTGAGGTGCGCTTCAGCAATGCCACTGTGCTGCGTTTGCAACATTGATGTCGTTCTTGGACCGCTTTCCATCTGTCAAGGGAAAAGAGAATGCATGTAGTGACTGCATATGTTCAGCAAAAGCCATTCGTCCAGTGTAGACACCGCGCCTTGGTGATGGGATACACATTGGCCGGCTCGCCCCCGATGTCCAGCACCTGCGGACTTCGATAGAAGCTGTTGCTGTGGAAGCGGAAGGCCCCAATAGGCAGCTCTTTGAAGCAAAGCTGCAGTTGCTCCTGATTCTTCAGCTGTGTTAACTCAACGAGTCAGTAAACATGTCCATGACGATTGCCCGAAAGCACCTGACAACTTGAAATGACTTGGGCAAACTATGCAAGCTTTTCTATGCCGGCTCGTTTGCAGAGAGAAACAGGCAGCTAGCACAGCAGGCTGCGTAGGTCAATGGACCTATATAGCTCGTTTCACAAGCTCGACAAGAGCGATCAAACGAGAATTTATTGCCCTGCTCCCAACGTTCCTCATGCTGCATCTTATGTTGCCTAGAAACCTGACCAACATCAATGGCTAGCAGCTGCGCTGTGGGATTCCCATCCCAAGGGCCTCCCGCTCATCCGGAAAACAAAATACATCCTCTTAGAATGCCCCTTTATCCATCCATACTAATGTTTTCAAGGGAGCAACCAGCACATCAACGTGCAATATATCGCTTCGCTCTTCGAGTGTAAGAAATGTACACAACTTGTGTAGTAGTTTGGACACTCACGCTTCAACATCTCTTAAACATGCTGCACGGGTGAAATGATGCGGCAAGTTTGTGCTCCCAGCCTGACTCATACACCACGAGATTGAAAAGTTGCTGTTGGGGTGGTGAAGTGTTAAGGCACACCTTTCCAGCTTTGAATCCGACAAAAGGCTCTGCCTGGGCAGTCAACGTCCACAAAAGCCATCAAGCTTTTGTATCACACTGACAAGGGGGTGGATATCGATCATGCCACGTCTGCCAAACATGACCCAACTTTTGGTTGGTCCACTGCAAACAACGCTGGGGGACCATTTGTTGCCCTATTGAAGCTTTCCTATAATTTACCACATGTCTTCGCTTTGGCTTCACACACTCACAGGGCTCCACAACTGAAGGGAGATTAAACAGAACAGAGCATGACAATGGCGAGCGGGCCCGCTTGTGAGGGGTGGATTGGATCCAAAGAACAGGAAGAGAAAATATGTACAATCTGGATTGGATCCAAATCTGGCAATACAAGAAAGTAAGTGCACAATCTGTAAGCAAGCGCAGAAGCACGATGACTACCCGATCCACTTTGAGGCCTTTCAGACTTAGGCCAAATATGGCATAATATGGCACAATATGGCAGTATGTGAGAGGAGTTGTCATGCGACCAAATTGTTGGATGCAGCATCGATCAAAGCGAGAGACACCCTGCGAACAACCACCTGCAGCTGTGCGCGTGCTGCTTTCCAACTACATGCCGAAAACAAGGGATGCCCCATTGCCCCCGCCCCTATGCCTGATGAAGTCCCACACGTGGCTGTAAAGCCCCTCTTGGTGGTCAAGCGAAAATATGACCAATCTCTGATACAAATGTTCATGCCACATTTGCCGTGGCCACTGCAAACGCCCCCTCCGCCCTCACGCCTCCTGCTGCAGTAGTTCATGGGCGAGCTCTGGTGATGCAAGCCGAACGTAGAGCAAGCCACTGCCAGAGGTCTCCTATCAAACGTGCTGTTCTTTCCATCTGACCAGGAATGCAAGGGAAAATCCTGGAAATCAAGTTGCAGCTCATGTGGGGGCAGCCGGGTCTTGGCTGCAGCTGCGGCACTTGGCAGGTCAGAGTCAGAGATGAAAGGTACCATCAATGAGTTGAACCTGATCTATCCTGTTCCATTAATCTTCCTAAGTGGTGGGTGGTCTCTCAGCCTCTCTTCCATCAGCTTCTGATGGCTAGCTTAGTTCAGCGGGATGGGAGCGTGCAACTATCCCAACGGTAGAACAAACACAAGCCGACCATGGTAGGGTCCAAATGGAACACTCGCTTGGGCTCCCTCCCCACCCTAGCGTTCTTCTGACAAAGACCCCAACGTGTCGCATCCTCATAGGGAAATTCGGATTTTCGGATTTTCAGGGGTGGGGGGCCGGGGGTGCTTGAGGTGATGCCCTGGCGCAGTGTCCTTCTTGTACCATCGCACCGCCTCCGGCGGGCCAAAGTTCTCCTTCTCCAGGGCTTCCTCCAGCCGTGCCCGGCGCTGCTGCCTGCCAACCCCGTGGGCGTGGGACACTCATGATTGAATGGCGTAATTGCCGGTATTCCCGTCTAAGGTTTGCACTGCATGCTCAGATCAACCCGTTTTCAGCAAGCGGTGCTTTTGAGGATGGATGTCGATTGTCGGGTGCAGACTATGAAAGATGGATGTCACGCAGTCTTCATGTGCATGTGCGGTTCAATCCTAGTTCAATTGCGCAATCACTCATAGGCGAACCGAACGCACTTGCTTCAATTCACAATGACCTAAAAGGGCCTGTATGCTCACCTTGCCGAAGTTGGATAAGAATATAAAACGGATCAGAATGGATCATCAAGAGTGAGCAAGCACTATGCTTGTGACATAAGATAATAAGAAACCATGGATGCCGCATGTGTTCCCGCATGCTCGAATCACGCCGGTCATGAAGTGCCATTTTGCTGATGTCGCGATCACCCCAACTTCCTCTGGTGCGCACATCAAATACGCGGCAAAGGGGAAGGATCATCGCATTACTGGGCTCGGGAACAGCATCAGGTAGCTTTTCTCTCCACTTTCCAGGCAAATTCATGAGTACCCTCCGCGACCATGCACCTAAAACACCCGTGGCTAATTTTGAAGCCTGAACCAGGCACGATTCCAGACACGCCTTCCCAGGGGAATAACTTAATACAGTACTAACGTTGCATTTAGATACTGCGTTGTCCACTGACAAGCAGTGTTGTTAATGTTTCAGCAACGTGTGAATTCATCCGAACGTAGCTGCTTGAGGGCGTCCACATTGTTGCGGACAATTAGCCCTTCCGCGATACTGAATCGGGCCATCTTGAGTGACCCCTGAATCACTGTCAAAGCGATTCGAAGGGGATCAGAAATGTGGCCTTGGAACCCTTGCTTACATTGTGTGGGAGTCCCCACCTTGGACTGACACTTGCTATATGGGCCCCTTCCGCAAAACTTTCCGCAAAGCCTCTGCGGTGTGAAGGCACCTTCCGCGAGCATGTTTCTATATAACTGCTTGCGTGGGCCTTCCGTGGGTAAGTAGAAGGTCGCTTCCGCGAGGGAATTCGTGCGCACCATCTTCTAGTAATTCTAGCAAATGCAACTCTAGAACGAGTCAACCGCGTCCCTTCACGTTCTGCGACCTTCCGCGGCTGCGTTGTGGCGCTACCTTTTTAGTTGATATGTCCACCTCTAGACATTTTTGTTTGAGCGGGGAAAAAGGACGCCACTCGCTTGCTGTCCTCTGGCCTGTCCAGTTCCTCCATCTGCGGGCTCTTGATGACCACGCCGCAGGGCAGGAACTCACAGTCCAGCACGGAGTGGTCCTGAAATGCATCCGACGCTCGCACCCTTGCATGAGGAATGCAGCTTTTTTCGAGCCAATCCCTGCACAAGGCGAACCACACCAGGAAATTCAGAAAAGGAATCGGACACATGTGGACGTTGAGGTCCTCTGCGCTGCAAAGAAAGCATCGGTTTCCTGCGAGTCGGCGCGCCAAATATTCAACCTGAGTCCATGTCCCCAAGCTTAGAATTTCCTGTTCGACTTGACTACTTGATCTCCTGACAACACCAAATCTCGGATGCCCTGCCTTGGCTTTGGCCTTGGCCTTGCGGCTCTTGCGGCGTCCAAACAGAGGTGCTGAGGTTGGGCGCTTCCTGGCGCGAGGCACAGGTGGTGCAGGTTCGGGCAGTTCAATGTATCATAAACAGACTTACTGGGGCGACCTCATGTTGTGACACTAGTTAATTGAAACATCAAGCAAACCAGTCAGCACGTCTGCTTGTGACACAGCATGTTCACCCCACAACAGTGTGTCCTATGGGACATCAGTGCGCCAATTTCGCAGAAGTCATCCCCGCGAAAGAAATGCCATCATAGGCATGATCGCTCCCTTCTTCTTCAACAAACAACAAAGCCAAGTACGGAGTTCCTGTTCCAGGGTTTGAACGGGCTCATTTCAACGTCGTCGCAGCAAAAAACGGAAACCCGACGCAAAACGTCTGGTCTCGGAAAGACTAGAATCATGTTGGATGGCTTCCCTTAAACATCGTGTGTATAAAGCAATCCGACAAGGCATCTACAAACCTGCGCGACCCAAACTTGAATACAGATCCTTCCACGCGTCTCTTCAAAACAGGTCACATTTCTCTAGTTCTTTGGTCAAATCCCCCCCCCCACTCTTCTAGAAACCTGGTCGCATTCCCAGTCAAGTCCCCCCACAAACCCGAAAAATCCAGTCAATTCCTCAGAAGCCGGTCAAATTCCTCAGTAGCCCGCTAGAAATCGTCAAATCCCTGAACCTGGACAAATTCCCTTCTGTAGAAGGTCAGATCCACCTAGAAGCCGGTCAAATCCCCCATAGAAACCGGTCAAATTCCGCCCCAAAAACCAATCAGATTCCCGGCTCCATGCAGCCCCTCTAAGGCTTCGCTTGGCCCCAGTCCACTACCCTTCTGTAGCTCTCAGCTCACTCAAACAAACATCAACACTTCAAGGCAAACCAAAACACGGCACCCCAAAGGCAGCCAAAAGCCTGTTGGCCGAGGCGGGCAACACGAAGCGTTTAGAATTATATTTGACAGTCACCTAGCCAATGAACGGGGTATGCGCACCATCTGCTGAAAGACAGACCCTTGTCTACTTGCGTCATGCAATGTTGCCTCCAACAATTATGCAGTTGCCGATTCTGGCACGCAGGAACTGTTTCTTGCACAAACAAGGAAGTCAGCTTCCGTTGAAGGCTGTGCGTTGCGCAAAGCTTGCCGCTCCTTGAAGAGCAAGGCCAGGAATCCGTCGCGCACCAGGCGACCGCGGCCCAAGCGCAGGAAGAGCCGTTGCTCCTTCAAGCAACAAATCGAAAACAAAGAAAAGATGCGCCAAATGCTGCCGGTGGCAATTTGGCATTTTGCTGTTGGCGCCATGGTGGTTTCCACTGGTGATTTGCTCAAGTGTTGACTGGACCCTCGGATTTCTGCAGAGTACTACAGACTCCAGGAAAAGAGACAACATGCTACGGTGAGCAATGCCCCTCTCCCAAAGCAAAGTTGCCTATGCTTTCCTGCTTTCCCAAGGGCTCTATCTGTGCGTTGAAGCTCAACTAAACATTCCATTTGGCCGGATGATTAAAACTTGCAAGCCAGCAACAAAAAAAATGGAATGAGGCAGCTGCAGAGTCATCAGGGGCAAGAACGCCTGAAAAGAATTAAACCTGATACAGGCCAAGAACATGTGTCAAGCGTCACCTCAATCCAACAAAGCCCGATCCAAGGTGCAAAAGCAAACAACTCACAAACGTAGCGCTATGGCCCAAAGGTGACAGGCTGTGCTGCAAGCCCCCAGCAAACCAAATTGCTCTGCCAAAAATGATCGGGGATCCATTAATTTTAGACGAGAGTTTTGTTGATTCTGCGTGCGACTCGGACAGTATGTCGGTACAATATTCAATCAAATCTAACTCCCCCTACAAAGCAAAACAATTGGTGATGCCCAACCACCGCTTCAGATCGAACTCCTCGCTTCATGCCGAGTCGAGAACAATGCTGCAAGGGAAACCAGCAGTGGAACAAACCGGCCCGACCCTATCTTCGGGAGGCCGGTCATGTTCCTCACTCAGGGCAGCCAGCTTGTTAGCCACTCGTTCACCGGGTTTGGCGCACCTTCTTTGGCAATCTTAGGGAACTTTAATCAAGGCCTTGAAAGGCAGGTTGAAATGGTTGCCATTGCAATAATTTATCCTTCAACTTCACCAAGCAATCAAGGCCGGCACAACACCTAAGTTCGGATAATGTGTTTGACGCCTGTTTGACGCATGAGCCACTTGCGCTCCACTGCGAACATACCTATTAAGTGGACGTGGTTTACTGCTTCTACCAAATGAAGGCCCTCACTTCCAGGTAGACCTCCTAGACCCCTCTGGCTTTGGTTGACAAGTGGGGGCCTTGTTCGAAACCGGGGATATTGGCAAAGTCAAATACACCAGATCTGGAAGGGCCAACTCTTACATCCACATGCCGATGGAAGAGTAGCCTGTTGGAAGGCCCCATGGGGAAACCCTCGACCACATGCCATGTGTATTTGACCAGCTCTACATATTTCTCATCCGTGCGGAGAAGGTATCAACACTTTGACCATCGGGTGACATTTTGATGCACGGAAGTCCTTTCATTGCGATGCTCAACCTCTCCCGGCTAAACCCAGTACCCACACAGAAAGTGGCCATCCAAGGCAGACCCCGCCTGCAGGAACGCTTCGCAGTTCTGCAGCAAAAACATGTCGCCTGGCCCAATGAGGCAGCAATCTATCGGTAAGCAGTACAATAAAAGTTCAACACGTGGTCTGCCTTTTGTAAATGTTTGCTCTTGGAGGCTTGCAGGCTTCAGAGATCTTGACTGGTGTTTATTGGAAAGCTCTTAGTGCCGAAGCTGTCTTGCTGCCATAGAACTGCTCTTGGGATCTCAACAAACACACTGCAACCCCAGCAGCAAGTCTCGGCTCCAACTCATCCCCAATGTTGGTCTTTCAGACCGCGGAATGTTTGAAGAGGAACATGCCCACGGTCTGGAAAATTGGTGACCAAACGGCGTTTCAGAGGGGGAAAACATTAATGACTAAGTGAGGGGTTGGGCAAAATTATGAAGCCTATGTTGGAAGGCCCCCAAACCCAGCAAGTCCTGTCTGAGGCCTTCGTCTACTTCTGGCACACCGTTGCCCGAAAGCAGGATGCTGGCCGAATCGTCCTTGCAAAATCTTTCCCGGATGGAGCACATGGGCTGGGCAATCGACAAGAAGGGTACATGTGTCCCTTTGTCGCACCAACATGACACCAACGACGTGGAGAATTTCCCGATGTTTACTTCCATCTTCCTCTTGAAAAAGATTTGCGGGTGTTCCCAAACCCCGAACAGGTCTTCCGAAAGACAATCCGGTGTGGTGAATGCACAAGCCAAAGTGATCAACATGCGGTGCTCACTTGACCGCATTGGACATCGGACAGACTCCAACTTAGACTCCAGCCGCCACCCAAAGATCGTGGGGATGCTTCGGGTTCTGTTTCTCCAGGACAATGACACGCGTGCAGTCCACGCGTCCTGTGCCCAGGCCAGAAGCCGGGCTTTGGTTGCTGCTCAAAAGCAAAGTTTGGTGTGGAAACCACTGAAACATCTCAACCGACCTTCAGCAGCTATAGGACGCAAGCAATAATTTCAACAGATCTTAAGTTGCTTTGCACCGTCAGCTTGGAACATACGCATTGTGGTCATGACCTTGTCCTGAGAGACTCGACCTGAACCAAGAACACCTTGTTGTTTACCCTCGACATGAAGGACCCCCGCCTCTTCACCAGTTAACACGTATACCTAGAGGGCGGACTGTAGCACGATGTTTGCCTTTTTTCCATTAAAAACAAAAAATATAATTGGTTCAACCAAGAAATCCATGTATTGTCTTGCTGCATGCCAGCATTAAAAGCGAGGTAGAGAAACTGGATACACCAAATCTCTGGCTCTGTACAGCAGACTGGGCAGGTATTCCTGTTTGTGCATCATCGTACACTGCGCATGTGTCACGCCTCATTATACCGACAAAGCCATTGCGACACGTAGCACAAAAGTCTCAGTCGGCTGTGTGACTTGCGTGTTCACTTGCGAGTTATGCCTTGTTGATGGGTCTTTTTGCCCCTTGCTTCTGGTTGGCAAGTATGCAAAGCGTCATGTAGAAAAAACAAATGAGAAGCCGCCAATAATCCATGCACATCCAGTGTGTTAAAACAGAGAGGAAACGTATCTGGAGTCGCATGGCAAATTGCGTTCTGTAGCAGGCATTGTTGGTGAAATGAGTCGGCCAGTCAAGCGATACAGCAAACATTGACCACAAATGCAAGGAAGCAACCTCTGAAACGCACATGGGATTAAGGAAGCATGTTCGTGCATGAGCTCTGTTCAAGCCGTACGCACAAACACCCAGCATGCTATATGAGCCAGTGGCTGGGCGAGCTAACAGAACAAGGATCCTACACCCATTGTTGCCTCATTCAGGCATGATGTTGTGTGGCCACTCTTTCCTGCACCCTTCAACGCACTTCCCAAGCATCAAAATGTGTCCAACCGCGACTTTTCACAGGCAAAGATCGCGCAAGATTGCGCCGGGCAACCAAAAAAACGCGCCGGGCAACCAGTTTTTCGCGCAATCTTGCGCAATCTCGCGCAACATGGGAGTTTTCCAGGCATGCATTGAAGACCACGTTTGGCACATTGTTTTGCCATAGTGCGAGGATATAGAGACACAATCTAATTAAACAGCATCAAAGAAAAAGTTGCTATTTGAGAAATAGTGTAAATTTATCAATCTAGCTTTATCCAAAAATGTCATTTTTGGGACACGCTTTCCTCCGCCTGCTTGATGCACAACCTAACGCAATGTGTTTTCCAATCATTTCCTCGGGCGAGAGGTTTCGTTGCAGTTTCAGCCGCTTGGCGAGATTGCGCAAGATTGCGCGGAAAACTGGTTGCCCGGCGCTTTTTTTTGGTTGCCCGGCGCAATCTTGCGCGACCTTTGCCTGTGGAAAGTTGCTGTTGGACACATTTTGCTGCTGGGGAAGCCTGTGGCAAAGCAAGAACGGGTGTTGAAGTGTTGGCGCTGCATGGTATCCTCGATCGTACGTGAATGCCATGTGTTGGGCATGCTTGCTCCCATGGTCCGCGCTTCGCCCAGAAAGAGCATGAAAGAGCGACATGTCCCAGCCCAAAAGCATGAACTGGTTGATGGATTGAGGCTGGCGCGGTCTAATTTGAAGTATTTGAGGCGGTGGCGGCAGCAGGTTGTGCTCCGTTGCAATATTTTGTGCCGGAGTGATTGAGCTTCTCCCATGGTCCCAGGTCAAGTTTCTGCTTTCTTTGGAAAACCGGTAAGGTGCGGCCACTTGCCACGTAATCGTGCGCGCTTCAGGCAGCTCAGGAAAGTGTGTGTTTGGCTCTGAAGTATCTTTGCGATGATGTGCTTGGCAGCATGCCCCCTTTCTTTAAGCTTGCACCCTATACGCGCAAAGAAGAATGGGCTCGTCCGAAGACAGGGGTCACGGTTTGGGACACGCACCTTGCTTACACACACAAACACACACACACACACACCAAAAGCGTTAGGACAACCTACTCATTTTAGATGATCCGTTGGCCAATGCAGTTGAACCCTTTGGCAAGTCACGTGCCTGTTCAAAGGGGTGTGTTTGTGTGCATGTTTGAATGGAACACCACATGGCGGAGTGATACACAGGTGACAGCTCGCCATGTGGCACGCATTGTCACGCGCAGGTCATATTTTGTCAACAAACGTTCCTGCCCCTTGCTTCGGGCTGACAAGTACGCAACGCGTCATGAAGAGTCCAGCACATCAAAAAAAGCGAAGGCGAGGATGCCCTTTAGAAGGTGTGTGATCTTTCATGGAATCTATTCTCAGCAGTCAGGAAGATTTAGCAACAAATTTTCACCACGCAGCAGCTTCGAGGCCCGCGCTGGAGCCAAGTCGCAAACAACTCAAGCAAAATGCCGGTAGTCGTTTGATTCGGTGCATGCAGGGCTGTTACTGCAAAAATGAGCTTCCGACCCCAAAATAATTGGTTCAACCAAGAAAAATGACGGAACCAAAAAAAACCAGGGAACCAAAACAAGAGGAGCCCGGGAACCCAAAAGCAAACCAGCCTAACTCCCCACAGCATGTGGATCCCGTTGTTTTCCGGCTCAAGGGTCCGAAGGCAAACCAAGATTTAAGTTGTTCACAGTTGGGAAATCAACCCCAAAACAGATGAAGCAACCGCGACTCAAGCCGGATTGGCAGCCAGCAGCCTGTGCTCTGACCAAGCACAGAGAAAAAGGCAAAGGCACGGGTGAAACATGACAGGCCCCGCACTACATGGAAGGCACGAAGTCATCCGATTCATCATGAAGAACCAATCGCAGAAATCCGAAAATGGATCCGCACAAACTACCACTCCCAAATTGGAAGCAAGGCATAAGCTCGCTCTACACCCATCTGAAACAAGTCTGAGACACAGTGTTACAACACGATCTGAGTAGACCGGGGTCAGCTGTTCGGATGTTCATGCGCCCTTTGTTTGGGCCGAGTGTGCTCAGCATATTCATGTCAACGTGCTTCCAGGCTGCTTCCAAATAAGTAGGGCGAGTCCCAAGAGGCCACAGACTCTGAAGAGAGGGTTCGTCCTAGAAACACATTGGCGCCATTTGTTCGGGTCAGGTGTGCGGCAAAAAGGACAATTTTGGCGTGCCTGGAACGCCGGGCTGTTCACATGGAGCCGTGCACGTGGCCTTCACAAACTTGCTTTGTAAGCTTGCTTGGATTCGTTAGTTTCTCCACCTATTTTCCCATTCGCAACCAATTGCAACTGGTGACTTTGTGGAATGGGCCGCACACGTTGTCAATTGGATGCGTGTGGATGGCAAGTTGGGTGGATTCGCCGCAAGTGTGTGGTTTTCTCTTAAGGTGCCTGGGAGCGATACAAGCTGTGACGACGGAGATAAGAAGGGATTTCCATTTCGTTGTGCTGCAGACCGGGCGTGCGATGACCGGGCGTACGAGGCTGGCTGGGGGGACGGCGGTGGGGCTGGCTGGTGGGACGGCGGTGTGGTGCAGACTGGGTGCGCGAGGCTGGCCCGCGAGCGAGAGAGACTGGCGCGCTCGTGACATGCGGAAACCGCCCGCGAGCGAAAAATGGTGACATGCAGACTGGCGCGGTGGACGCTCGTGACATGCGGAAACCGCCCGCGAGCGAGACTGGCGCGGTGGAACATGCGGAAACCGCCCGCGAGCGAGACTGGCGCGGTGGACGCTCGTGACCATGCGGAAACCGCCCGCGAGCGAGACTGGCGCGGTGGACGCTCGTGACATGGAGAAACCGCCCGCGAGCGAGACTGGCGCGGTGGACCCTCGTGACATGCGGACGGTGGAACATGCGGAAACCGCCCGCGAGCGAGACTGGCGCGGTGGACGCTCGTGACATGCGGAAACCGCCCGCGAGCGAGACTGGCGCGGTGGACGCTCGTGACAGGCGGAAACCGCCCGCGAGCGAGACTGGCGCGGTGGACGCTCGTGACATGCCGAAACCGCCCGCGAGCGAGACTGGCGCGGTGGACGCTCGTGACATGCGGAAACCGCCCGCGAGCGAGACTGGCGCGGTGGACGCTCGTGACATGCGGAAACCGCCCGCGAGCGAGACTGGCGCGGTGGACGCTCGTGACATGCGGAAACCGCCCGCGAGCAAGAC